CCACGTTCAAAGTCACTCAAATCAACTTTCTTCCCCATACTGATGCTCGGTTTGAACTGCAGGAGATTGTCTTGACCATGTCTACATGCCTAAATGCACTGAGTTGCCGCCATGTGATTGGCTGCTTAGAAATTAAGTGTTAACGAGCAGTTGGACAGGTGTATATATATATGTGTGTGTGTGTGTATACATATTTATTTATTTATATATATATATATATATATATATTATTGTCCTTGCATTCTTTCTTGTGTGACGACACTGAATGAAAGGCTCATTAGTATGCAGTCTGCTCAGGTGAGAACTGCCTAATTATTCATGTTCATTCATTCATGTTGGGCCGTTCCGCCCATCCGCATTTTGCCTTTGCAAACAAAAAAATGTTTTTCACAATTTAAAACTATCTATTGTTTTATGTGAATGATTAGGCAGAATGATTTTCAGATCAATTCGAAGCAAAAACTCTAGGCGACAACATCCACTAGTCAAAAGTCTTGTGGACAGATATTTAGTATGTTATTTGTGGCCTTATATTAGAAACTTTATTTTTTAGTTTTTTCAATAACCACGCATAAACAATATTCTCTCAAAAATACAAACATGTATTAACATGTTGTTCACATATTATGGTAGCCCTGTGTGTGCTATATAGAGTGTAATTTCACCTGTGCCATTAATATGTTTATAAGCAACTGAAAAAAGCAGAAATGTCAGAGCATACCAAAACATCTCAAGGACCCTGAAAACACCTCAGACCCCAGAGGGTTAACATGAACAATTTGAGAACAAAGTAGGCTATAATTTGCATGGTTGCAGTAAATCGCGTTGATTAAATCTAACGAAGCTTATCATGTCGAATGCTTTTTCCCCCTTAGTTGGTCAGAACAAAAATGGATTTTACTTACTTGTTCAGAAGACATTTTCTTATGAAAATTCTTATGTTGGTCAAACTTTCAAAAAGTGAATCTGTGATTCTGTATGATAGTATCCACACAGCGCGGTGACTGACAGCAGCAGTCGCCTCAAAGCACTGTGTTCATCCGCGCTGTTTCATGCCGATTTACAACCCACGTAAAGATAATAATTCCGCGAATCACTGCAGTTACAGATTTCGAACAGAGAGATGGCGACAAAGAGGAAAAGATACGGACTGCAGCTTTAAGTTCTGCCAGGAAGACTCAATTGCTACGTCACTTATTACCTTCTCATCTATCCAATCGTGTCTAATACTTGCGGTATAAAAGACCAGTACTTACACATGTTTGAGTTTGCAGATGCTGACACTAGGGCTGGGCGATATGGCCCAAAAAAATGATCACGATAAGTTTTTTTATATCAGTCGATATCGATAATTATCACGATAAATGTCAAATCTTTATTTCTTTCAAGTTTAAAGGCAGATTTTTGCTCCTAAGTGAAAGTTGTATAAACCAGAGCGTTAATTGTGGTTTTAAACTACTCTTTATTGTCAGAACATATGACAAACACTTGCCAAACATATATTTCTTAGTTTCTGCATGTGCTAATGGGGGATATTGTTTCAAGTCTTGAAACAGGTTTGTGTTGCCTGACTTTGATGGCCCGTATCTTCAGCACAGTTTGCAGTGCAGGCTGCAATATTAATATTACATGTTTTATCTCGAAACGCATATTTGACGGTGAGTTGACAGTAAATCTCCATCCTAACTCAAGCTAATACTACTATGTTAAATTTATGTTCATTAACAAAAACAGTAACATCTCTTAAAAAAAAAATTAACAACCACATTTTTATTTGGGAAAATGTAATATTCTGACTGTTTTATTCAAATTAACCATTGGTTATCCAGTATCATGCATTTAGATCATGATAACCACAGATAAAACCAGGCATAGCCTATAGCAGCTCACTAGCATGGCAAAATTTTACTTTATGGTTTCTATGGTATTTGTATGAAAAACTGTAGCCTAAATACATTATTAAATACTGTAATTATATTCCATTAGTCCTTTAATACATTGTCTACATTAATAATATAATACAATTCAATATGTATATCCCACATTTCATGGTGCAGTTAACGTTAGGCTAACGTTACAGTAAATCCATGGTAAATGGATTCAGTATCAATTAAGATTCTGACTGCATCGTTGCACACAGTGTTTCTCCTGTTTGTCAGCGCTGTTTCATCTGCCTTTAAACTGGTTTAAATCACTGAGATATTTGTGTTCTTCGCTGAATTCAAGCGCTTCTCACTGGATCTAGTGAGCAGATCAGAGTAAACGCTGCTCTAGTGAGCTCGCGGTTCAAATAAGTTTCGTTCCGCTTTTGGCGCATAAACATTATCGAACATTTATATTGTTTATCGAACATCGAACATCGAACTCTTGATATCGTTTTATCGAGAAAAATGATATCGCGACAATTATCGTTATCGTTTTATCGCCCAGCCCTAGCTGACGCATTCATTATATCATTATATATAGTATATGATCTATGATCCATGTTGCTGTTTTGGTCGGTGCAGAGAGCCTCATGGTTAGCGCGCCGACATATAGAACAACTGCGGCTTCGGCGCCCTGAGTTCAATTCCCAGCTCGAGGTCCTTTGCCGATCCCATTCCCCTCTCTCTACACCCCACGCTTTCCTTGTCAATCTTTACTGTCCCAGGCACAGTCACAAAAAGGCCAACAATATAACTTAAAAAAAATGTGTTTTGGTGTTTCATGGCCCTTTAAGCACCTTGTTTTTTTCAAGCACCTATGTTTGTTTTCACATACTTTCCAGTGCTTGAATCCAAAATGGCAAAAATTCAATAACTTTTTAAGCGTGGAAACCCTGTGGGGGAGTACATGCAAACTCCACAGAGAAAGGCCTCCTGGCTGAGCTGGGACTCAAACCGGAGACCTTCTTGAGGCGACAGTGCTACCACAGAGCCACCGTGCCTCCCTTTAACCCTCTGGGGTCGGCGGTCTCGCCGGCGATACCAGCTCACTTTTTTCCTTATCAGTGCAAAAGAGACTCAAATTACTCTGTTGATTTTGATCTGACATATAAGTGTTGTACATCATTCGATCCTGTTAAGTTTGTATTTTTTTTTGTGGAACCTCATAATAAAAACAAAGTGTTGTGCTTTTCGCCTAATAAAGAAAAATAAACATGATGCACGTTCTGCGTTCTTTCTGTCAGTGAAGTCCATTCTGAAACGCGTCCGAAAAATGAACTGTAACTCTGCAAATACTCAGTCAAACAGGTATACAGGCACACAGGCATGAAGCCTGAATTATCTTCTTTTAAATGAAGTAATTTATATAAAAAATAAATTTTCTCATTTTATGTAATCTGTACGAAAAGAGAGAGATGATAGTCGTTCTCGTCTCAGGTCATTAAAGTTAATTTGACCACACCCACGGAGCGCGCGCTCTATTCAAACACAAATGCTCTGAGGCGATCCACGCCCACATCAGCTGGATAACCCACCGAAAGAGACTCATATTTACGACGCTGTGAGGAATAATACTATCTTAATAATAATCCTGGAAAAAATTACCTCAGAAGTGCAGGTAGTTTCATTTGGAGGAGCAACGGATCCAGCTGAGGAATAGGTACATTATTTTCAAGTGCTTTGTTCTAATCGCGATATGAAATAGTGTCTGTAAACAAAAAGACTGTTTGAATATGAATCGCATTTTTGTGTGTGAATGAATAGCTTTTACCTAACTATATTCCAATACTGAGATGAGTAAAAATCGACTGAAATATGTTGAAATAAAATATTTTTGTATAAGCAACGTATTAAACTGCAAATTAACATTTATATGTCCTAATCATAAAAACCATATGTTACATGAAAGACAAGATGTCGTTTTTACTGTAAAATACTGCCACATCAAATAAGCTTGTTTGCTAAGATGTTATTATAGTGTTTGTTTGATTGTAGGCTATATTCAAACTAATTAATCCGCAACTGTGAAATATGTATGATAAAATGTATACTTTAGTATATACAAAGAAAGATTACATTTGAAATATAGTTTATTTTAATTGTTGTTGTAATTGTAACCTTTTTATTAAAATAGCAAAAATATATGTAGGTTACATATAAATAAATCTTAGGTAAATCTTAAAAGCTCAATATAAGCCTCCTCTTTAAATTATTTGTATTGTGTTTTATTAGTGACACATTTGGGATATATTCCCAAACTTTCTGTAAAAACAGTATGAGAATTAACTGCACAATTACTAGAAATGTTTACATTTGATATTATACAATTTGCAAGCACAATTTGAAAAATAAATAAATAATTGGAACTGTGAACCAATTTTGTATTATATAGGCCTATATATATATATATATATATATATATATATATTGTCATTGCATTCTTGTGGCTCAGTGACACACCTGAATGAAAGGGTCATTAGTATGCAGCCCCATTATGCGCTCATTATGCGGGCCCATTGTCTTCTCAGGTGTGAATCACAGCAGGTCACACCCCTGCGCATATTGCCTTTCCAAACAAAAAGTGTCATTTTTAAATTTAAACCAATCTATTGTTTTATGTGAATGATAAGGCAGGATGATTTTCAGATCATTTTGAAGAAAAAACTCTAGGCGACAATATCCATTAGTCAAAAGTCTTCAGGACACATATTTAGTATGCGTTTTGTGGCCTTATTGCAGAAACTTTAAGTTTTAGTTTTTTCAATAACCACGCATAAACAATATTCTCTCAAAAATACAAACATGTACATACATGTTGATAACATATTATGGTAGCCCTGTTTGTGCTAAATAGAGTGTAATTACACCTTTGCCAGTAATTTGTTTATAAGCAACTGAAAAAAGCACAAATGTCAGAGTATGTCAAAACATCTCAAGGACCCCCAAAACACCTTGGACCCCAGAGGATTAATAACCATTATGTAAAAAATATATCAATTTAATTGCAGAAACTATACATATTTATGATTGTGAATATATATATTTTAAATAACAATAATAAAGAAAGGTACAGACCTCCACTTCTCCTCTGGTGAGAGCTGGGACAGATCAATCTGTTGAAATATGAGTGATTTCAGCAATTAGTTATAGCAACATTCAAGCAGAAGTGCACTTCATTACATTGCAACCTTAAGCTAAAAAGCATTCAATTACTTTTTCCATATCACAAATCACATAATCAAAAACGTTGTCCACATATATTTATCTGATAGGGAAAGCTTCATCGTGGACCCACTCCCAGCATACAGCTTGTGAATCTAGTGCTCCTCAACAGCGAGTTCTGGCAGGACCGCAAGTAACTTTGTTTCATGAACTGCAATCTTTTGTAGAAGTCTGTGGCACTTTGTGTAGCAAGTACATTCTGAACCAGACGGAGGCATTTTAGTCTGAATATAGGGAGCTGTGTTGCGCTGTCCCAGGAATGTATGCTGCTGGCAGTGGGAGGCTGGTCAGATCAAAATACCCCTTTTATGTAGTAATATTTAGGGGTGCGCCGATCCGATATTCGGTATCGGTATTAGTCCGATACTGGCCAAAATCACTGGATCGGATATTGTATGAATCGCGGGAGTATATTCCGATCCGATACGACCACGGACCTAGTCCTAAACTGTCAAACAAATGCAAACAAATCTCTCAACACCTGAGAGACATGCCGTAAAGAGAGATGAGCAACATGCGTCACGCTGCAGCTGCACGCAGGGTCGCCAGATTTTCACAACAAAACCTGCCCAATTGCATTTTAAAAAGTAGCCAATCGCGTTTCGGGGTGTGAGAGGGAGCGCGGACTTGGCAACACTGGCGTCACGTGAACAGTAGCTAGAACGAGTAAGGTGAGACCTGTCAGCAATTATCATGTCAGCTGTGTTGAGTTATTTTAAAAAAGTGTGCATTTTGTTTTGTGAGTCTCCGCAACGGCGATAGATTGGAGCCATCCGAGTGAAGATTGTGCGCGCGCCACAAGAGAACACTGTCTCCGTGCAACTGATAGCAGCGGCAACGAGCGCTCAGCTTGATTTAAAAAAACAAACACATTTTAGTGCTAGGTCTAACTATGTTAATTAATGCTCTGTTAAATGGAGATGTTTTATTTATTTGTATTACATCTGTGCCTCATAATGTTTCAAAAGTGGTGGGGGGCAATATCGATCCTGAGAAAAAGTGGCTGGGACATGTCGCACCCTCAAATTACACCTATGATCCCCAGATGTTACATGTGAAAAACTTTAGAGCTTGGACTGTCTACCCAAAATGTTTTTCCCCTTTATTAGGTGTAATGGCCTAGTAGAGTTTAATTTGTGAGTGGCTTATTGTACTATTCTGTTCTATTGTACATTTTATAATGGAGATACCATTATTTTTATGGTAGGTTATACTTATTTAAGTTATGACTAGAGTTTTGTGTTACATCTAGTATTTGGCACTGGAATTATATCTTTTTTTATTTGCACAGTTGGACTTTAAATTTAATTAATTGAATGGTGCTGAATAATTAAAAATGCTGCTACAAGTTCTGTTTAAAAATTATTTTAATAAAAATTAAGCAGCAGTAGATGTTGTGGGCTACGTATTTCTTCCTTTAGGGGAGTAGAACATTTATTGCACTATTTGAGCATGATGCTTTTTAGATGGCTAGGTTAATCACAGTGCATCCTCCTGACAAACGTGTTATTAACAGCTTAATTAAGAGGGAGAAAAATATGGCATGGTATTGTATCAGTATCGGTAGATACTCAAGTTTGTGGTATCGGTATCGGACATGAAAAAGTGGTATCGAGCCACCCCTAGTAATATTCCATTTCAAATGTTTCTAATTTTATTGTTGGTGCCAAGCTTTGTCGTTTGAGCACTGTGCTGATTTGCTGAAGTTAAAATTAGGAGATAAAATACAAAAGCGAGAGAGCAAAGGGCTGAGCAGCGTCCGAACAGTAGCTAGTAAGCAGGAAGTAAATTCAATGCATTTGCTTTTACAATACATATGGTTAAGCATAGTGTTGCACGGTGCACCGATACTTCAAAAGTATCGCGATACTCGGAAATTAAAAACTTCACGATACCTAAATTTATTAGTATCGATACTTCTAAGAATGACCGCGTTCCAGATTTGTAAGAGAGTATTGCATGTTGGTGTGTGCACGGCCGCATTAACAATAGGGCTAGGCGGGGCTAAAGCCCCGGGGCCCGAGCAAGGAGGGGGCCCGTGACTGGCTGTGGAGTAGATACTACTAGCCATCTGATTGCCAAAGCCTTACCACGCAACGCCCCCCACAAATTAGCCCTGTTATTTAGTGGCGCTTTGCCGTATATTCCATGCATTATCATGGAATCATTATCATTAATATTATAGTGACCGTTCGCAAAGACCCGCCTTTTTTAGTTACTGTGTGACAAGCCAGGCGGCTCGAGTCACGTACATCATGTTCTCACTCACGCAGTGAAAAATACATCGCGGGGCAAAGACTAACGTTACACCGAGTGACTATGAGAGAGAGTTCAGAGCAGCTTACTGTTGATATGAAACAAAGTCTCAACTTTCAAATATTGTCATTTAAGTAATTTAAACAATACCGTTTTCAAGTTCAAGTCCACCGACGTTAATCTACTGACAGCTTTGTTGTCGGACAAAATTGCGTATTCGGCGTTATGATTGGCCAGTTCGCCTGTCAATCAAACCCCCGTGGGCAGCAGGGCATGGTGAATTGAAACGTCACGTTTTAATTTGATATAACAATACATTTATTCTATATTTAACTTGTGAACGATCTACCTGCTGCTGCAAGTAGGCCTATAGATGGCTGCCTGTGCCTTATTAGAATATACGCATCAACCAATCAATCGCCTCCACTCTTCACTTCATTCTATTCTTAAAACACATGCGTCATCATCGACCCCACAAATTTTCGGTAAGTTTGATTATTAACTTGATGGATGTATGATGCTTTTTGTGTTTGATCAATTTTCGGCTAAAGGGCTGGCGATAATATCCGGTAGAAATATGTACATTTTCCTGCGCCATCATGATACAAGTTTAGGCTATAATTTAAACGCGTTTTTAAGCATTGTGGTTTGGATACAAATTATGGTACTTTCCTGTTATCCGGACCCCACGCAAATTATTTTAAACTGCTCAGGCACAGTAAGCAGCGGGAGAGAATTCATTTTGGTTTTGAGACCATGGTGAACTTGAGACGGTTCTGCACAGCGCACTTGAGTTCCGACCCTGAGGTCTTAAAGTGACAGAAGCCACTAATAAAGCTCCTGTCGCCATTTGTGTCAATGATGAAACATCAGAAATAAAGTAATTTACTGCCCTTGACTGAATCACTTTTGTAAAATTAATAAGAATGAATGTTGAATTTATAGTGAAAACTATGTATTGAATATTTGATTACTTTATACAATATAATATTATTCAGTGCTTTAAGTTTTTCAAGTAGGTCGATTTCTTATGTGCCTTTGTTCTATTGTTATTTGTGACTCTTGTCATTAGTAAGCTTGAGATTATTTTCTTAAGCTACTATTATTTTTTGTGATATTGAAATTGGTCACAAGAATTATGAAATTTTAGTGGCATAAAATTTTGATATGATAAAAAATCTTATTAAAAGTAATATAACTTAACTGTGTGAAGTATATCATAGATGAATAAAATGACTCGTATAATGATAGAACATTTAGCTCATGTAGTTGGTGACCTAAAGTGGTGGTGGGGGGGCCCTGCAGTAACTCATAGCCCCGGGGCCCAGTGAGCTCTTAATGCGGCCCTGGGTGTGTGCAACGCACGCTTCCAGTGCCTCCCTATGGACGTCTGTGTTTTTCTCCTCATGCGCGTGTGACAGGGCGCGTGAACTGAACGAGCAGAGAGAGAGAGAGAGAGAGAGAGAGAGAGAGAGAGAGTGAGCGAGCCCCGGTCGCGCGCGCGCACTCTCTCTCTCTGCGGAGCCAGGCGAAAGTATAAACAAGGCTTCACCGTCTCAAAACTAAGCGCTGTCTTGCTCTCTCTCTCTCCCTCGCACATATTAATCAAAATAATTCGACACGATGGTAAGGTCGGGAGACTAAAGTTTCATGTGGAGCATTCGGATTTTTTTTTTTTTTTTTTTTTTAATTACCGCTGGGTGTAAATTGTGGTAAAATACGTTGCCTTATCTTCTCTGAATCGTTCCGCACATTCAGCTGACATAAACCACACTTTAAATAAACGAAAAAAACTATCCAGTCATGAAATGTTTTCTGTGATGACAGTGGGATGTAACCGCCTGGATAATCACACAACGCGCACACGTCCGATAATGACACGTCCAATTCGCGAACTAATGACTCATTTGAACCGATTCGTTTTAATGAATGGTTAAAACAACTGATCTGTCTGAATCGGTGTATAACTAATCGTTAACACTTTGTAATAAGGTTTCATTTATTACATAAAACAAATAAAAACACTTGTTTTTTCCCCCCGAAAAAGCATATGACTACTTTTTTCCACACAATGCTATCATGAATCGATAAGAGAATCGTTAAAGAATCGGATCGATAAGCAGAATCGTCAGTGGCATTGATATTGATAAAATCTTATGTTTCTTATGATAACTGAGATAATGCTGCTAAATTTATTTATTTTTTTACCTTGAATGTCATTGCTCTAATTTATTTTTTATATTTTTCATATTTCATATTTTGTTCAAATGGTTATAGCCTATCTGCTGTTCAAATGTTCATTTATTAGTGTGTTATGATTGGAATGTTGTCCCAGTTTTAAAATAAAGCACCGCAATGATATTTGAGAGTGTTTCTCCCTTTTCAGGAAAAGTATCGAAAAAGTATCGAAATCGCAATTCTTGACTTGGTATCGGTATCGAAACAATAATTTTGGTATCGTGACAACACTAGTTAAGCATTTTTACAAGGACAACCTTATATCATGTATAGTACGTAAATTTTCTTAAGGAAAACAATCTCTCAACTAATACTGTAAACGGATAAACAGGAAAGAGGGAACCCTGTCAGTTAGCACATTACTGTATAATATTAAAGGTTGAAATGAATAACAACA